AGGGCTGGTGCGTGGCCATTGCCCTGGGGTCAGCGGTGATTTTTCCCCGCAGTAAGAGCATTGTCGTGAGGGCAGCGTCACTGATGTACCCCTTCCCTCTGGAGTAAGTGGGGTTTTTAAGGAACTTTCTGCCCTGGGAAGACAGATTTTTCCACACTCCCTTATTTTTCCAGAGAGATGTTACATGAGCCACAGGACATCGGGGTATGAAAGGGGCTGGTTCTGGGAACCCCTTTTCTCCCGCCGTGCATCTCTGCAGAGCTTCATGCAAAAGAAGGATTATTAGCAAAAACATCCCAAAGATAATTCATCTGGAAAACACAGATTTCTTCTGTTTTCTGAGCTCTGCACCTCCAAAATAGCTATCTCCTTTTGAAGTACCTGTCAAACCCAAGCTCAAAGGCTCAGTCTGCTGAGAAGATCCCTCTAAGCATCTCCCTGCCATAAATATCCCACCTGAGATCTCAGCAGGGCTGGAAATCACAGCTGCTCCGTCTAATTGCAGATGTGCACACTAATCAGGGCTGACACGATGACAGGCACCGATCCTGCCTCCGAATTGCTGATGGGCGCTCAGTTAACCAGGGCAGAGTCCTCCGCAAAGCCGAACTGCCCATCTCAGTCGCGGGAAGCCTGAGCAGGGCTGGGTGCTGCCTGGCAGCGATTCAAGGGAGACAAACCACCCCTTGCTCAGCATCACCAACGCTCAGTCTCATCTTACCGCTGCCTTCACAGCCGCAATGCTGGGGGGGCTTTTCCCAGGACCCCATTACCCCAGGCACCACGCATTTGTCATTCTCTAAACCAGCTTTTTTTCCCCCCCAAAACCCACCGTTGCACCCAGTGGGATGCAGCACGTCCGTAGCAGGGCGGAGGCAGAAAACCTCCCTGCGTCTGCACGCGTACCCAGAGGTGATGCTGCGGGTGAAATCCCACCTGCCCGCAGGCTCCCGGCTTGGGTCCGAGGGCACCAGGAGGCTGCGGCCAGAGCCTGCTGCAGCCCCCGAACCCCAAGTCCCCCTCTACCCCTCGGGGGCTCCCCCAAAGGCTCTCGCTATTCCCCTGCTCCTCCCTCCTGGTATCGTTAGGATTCAGCTCGTGCACCCAGGACTGATAGAAAATGCCAATTTCAGGAAGATAATTGTTTAATTAAAATCTGACAGGCTTGGCCTCCTCTTGACAGCCACATCATTAATGCTGCTCCCTGCACCGGGAGCTCGGGATCTCCCTGGAGACCTGGGAGGGAGGATGGGGGGGCTCCAAGGTGGGGACCACTGCATCCCGCTGCCCGGCGGAGCCATACACGGGATGCCACGGGAGGGAGCGGGGGTCAGTGACGATGGTCTTTGCCATTCTTTTCCCCAGGCATCGGGGGGGAAGAGCCATTCTTTCCCCCGAGCACAAGACCAGAGCTTCCCATCAGCCAAATGGGGAGTTACTGGTGCCCCACGGGGATACTGCCGTGAGAGACCTGGCTCTATAGTCTTGGAATCCCAGAGCTGAAGAGAGAAATAAGTCTCCCTTGTTCAAAAGGAGTAGAGAGAAAAAAATTATCCAAACTTCATCATACAAATAAGTAAAAAAATAATGCAATTCTCTGCCGGCACGTAACAGCAGGCTGGGAACACTTTAACCAGCTATTTTCGCTGTGATGTTTAATACGCCACTCTTTCAAGCATAGTCTGAAATGTATAATTTTCCATTATATTCCTGTATGTTTGACTTTAATATAATGAAGCCTTCTCCCTTCACTACACCAGAATATTGGGTCTATTAAATTGCTTGTGTGAGGACTATTTTTGACACTGGAAAAAGCTGAAATGAAAAGTCCAAGAAAATGGTGGTGTCTGCAAACCTCTCTCCTTCTCCAGCCTCTAACCTCTGGCTAACGGCCGTAATCCATCACCAGGACAATCCTCCCGGCATTGCCTTTCCCAGGAGGACACAATTTGTCTCTTGGCCCCGTGCAACTATGCTGGGATTTGATCTCCGGGGTTAGGGGTGGGGTTGGTGCTTCCATGATTTCCAATTTCCTTTTAAATAGGCCAGGGGTGCGAACCATCAGGGAAAGCCAAAAGTGCTCCAAGGGGGGATGAAAGGCAGAGGCACGGCTTGCCAAAAACCTTCCCCAGGAAGTTGCAGGGTGACCTGGAGCAGGTGCCACCTCCGAAAGGACAAGAGAGGGGAGCACGGGGCATTTTCTTGGGAAGAACCCCCATATTGCAAACCCAAGCCACGATTCAGATCTCTTTCCAGAAGGAAGAAGTTTCTTTCAAGCAAATCTAGGTTGGCGAAGGATGCCGGCTGCATCTCAGCTCCTTTATTTGCACAATACCTGGCCAGCTCCAAACACACCAAAGGAAGCTCCGCCAGCCCGGCCGATCCGGGGCAGGGCTGTAGCTGCGAGGGGTCCCCAGCACCCCGGTTGCCGGTCCCCAGCACCTGCACGGCACGGCTGCCGCCAGGAAGAGCTGATGGCAGAGGCAAAGCATCTCACAGCTCCCCACAACATCCCATATCCCAAAAATGTTTTACTGAGTTTTGCCCGAAAGATGCAAAACTAAAGCTGTGGGATAAGTGATTTTTTTCAGTCATGCAACACAGGAAAAGGGAAAAAAAGGGAAAAAAGGAAAAAAAGGAAAAAGAAAAGGAAGAAAAGGAAAAAAGGAAAAAAAGGAAAAAAGGAAACGGAAAAGGAAAAAAAAAAGGAACCAGAAAAGGAAAAAAAAAAGGAACCAGAAAATCTGTTTCAGGTCAGTTTTCAATTTCCAATGTTTCCACCCATCAAGGAGGGGCAAATGCTGCGTTTGAGGTTCAGCAATCTATTTAGGTTGGTGAAGCAAAGGGAAATGCATCATTTTGGATACAAGCCTTCCTTTCAATAAACTGGCAAGGTATCTTCAAACAAAGGCAGGCAAATGGGAAACTAAACCGTATCATTTTATTCCAGTAATGCTGAAATAAAATGTTGTGAGTGAAAAAAATAAATTGATGGTAGTTATTCTGAAACACAGACAAATTTGTTAAATATTCTGATAACAAAACACCCCATTTTGCCTTCAGAGGAAAAAAGAGGAGGAGTCAGAAAAATAGTTTCTCTGAGCTCCAGTACCTGGCTGGGAACAGCAACACCAAACTGCCCGACCACGGGCTTTCTGCCGCTCCTCCTGCTAATGCCCTTGTTTTCAGTTCCTGCTGTGACAAACAGTATTTTAAAGACAAGATATCAAGGGATTCCTGAAGCCAAAGCCCATAATAAGGCTTTTAAACCCATAAGGTGGGTCAGTTTTTAGGCTTAATTGCTTTGACAGCACTTCTAATAAAGCAGACCTTTCTATTTAAAAGAAAAAAGGGGGGGGAGGGGGGAAGGGAAAAAAAGAAAAAAAAGAAGTTGCTGTAAGTTATTCACACTCACTCCTCGCTCTGCTTCAGGAGGATTTATACAGTATCTTTAAAAAACCCCAGAGAGGTGAGTTGTGGGATTAACCCAGCGCACTTCTTGGTGGGAAGGAGTAACTTCTCTCGAGAGTGACCGCGCATTTTCAATGCTCGCAGGACGTCAGCGCCTGGTTTTCTTCATTTGAGGCAAATTTAGGACTTCAACCTCCCAGCAGTCGAGGGCCATTCCAGCGGCTGGGCTGTTTCACGGGAGGGCGACCTCAGGGTGGGGGTCCCTGGCCCCGCAGAGATGGGTGGCAGCTTTAGCTGCCCCGTGGTCCCACAGGAGACCGAGTTTATCGTATATCCCGCTATACGTGGTGTCACGCCGGGATGCCTGGCCGCGGCTGCCTGCCCGCCCTGGCAGCTGCCCGCGCTGCCCGCACACGGACACGCTGGTAGCTCTGCTCCCCCTGCCCTCCATCAGCTGGTTAGCAACTGAAGAAATGTTAATTAAGGGAGGGAGGCAGGACGTGTTGTGACTGCACCGCAGCTGCATTTACATGAAGAGTGGGAGCGGGGAGAAGAGCAGAGACGGGAGCTCGTCTTTGGGCAAAGCAGGGATCGACACGGCAGCAGCACGCTCCGGGTGAGCGGGACCCCACGCCGGCTCCGGCTCCTCCTGCCCATCACACCGCCAAGTCCTTCCCTAAAATCCTTTTTTTCTTCTTTTATTTTTAACCAGAGAATATCATTAAGCATCTAAATGACCTGGTGCACATCCAGTCGACATCGCAGCCCAACGCGGCTGCTCGGGAGCCAGCAGAGCCCTTTCCCTCCGCTTAATTCCCCCATCATTTTTTAATTCTTTTAATAGCACGGCACCACCAGGCTTCACAATTTTCTTTATCCTTTCTGGAAAAGCGGAAAATTTCCTTCACTCTCCTGAAACAGAGACCTGCAGCTCCCCACCACCCACCCGGGGCATTGCCTGTGCTTCGGGGCCGGCTCTCCAGCCCAGATGGTGGAGGGTCAAGCGCTGACAGCTGGCCCGGCAGCACAGCAGCAGGGATGTAATTACTTTTAATTTAATTTTAATCAAGATACCGGAATGAATGTGCAAAACAACAACTGTTTTCCGAAGTCAGGTTTGTTCGGTCTTTGCAAACCGGTAGAGAAAATCAGCCCGAGGTGAAAAGCTGCGGCAATCACCCACGGTACGGTGCGAGACCCGGGCAGACGGCTCCATCAGCTGAATAAAGTCCCCAGACTGCCACAGACACCCACCTCTGCAGCCTCTACCGTGGGGAAAAACAAAGATGACACCTCTCCAGCCAGCATCACCCCTGTCCCCCCGCAAAATCGCACCGCAAACCCCGGACCCCCGCAGCCCGATGCAGAGCCCCGGTTTCACCGTGCATCGCCGTCCTCACAAGGGGACGGCTCATCCCAAGTGAAGCAAATTGCAAGCAAAATGGAGATCAGCACTTTTCTCCCCTCCAGGAAAATTGACTTTAATAATTTGGACAACTTGAAAGGCTCCTGCTACAGGGCAGGAGGTAAATATTCATGAGAGTGCATTTCCAGGGCGGGCACAGCGGGAGCGCTGCCTTCCCGGGGGGGTCCCCGCATCCCCACCCCCTTTCCTTACATCCCTTCATCCTTCATAGAGGCAGCTCCTGGAGCTATTCCTATTGATTTGCTTGATCCAAACGATAACGATCAACAGTGAAAGGGGGGAACGGCAGGCGCAGAGGTCTGTAGCTCTCAGGGTACTTGCAGGCAGACGCTCTCTGGGTTTATCTTTGCTTCACGCCAGGTCCCAGCACTGCCGTGAATCTCCAGCGACTTCAAACTCCTGCTCCCAAACCTCATCTCCCTTATCTCAGCTTCCCCTTGCTCCGGCTCTGCCCGGAGGATTCCCAGGGCATCCCTCAAAGGCACGGCTCTGCCCTGGGGAAACACCTACGATGCTCGGTACCAAAGCAAGGTGGGAGCACGTGTCCCCCTGAAGCTGCAGGAGAGGAGGATTCCTGCCTTGCACGTGCAAATAATTTCAAAGGGGAAGCAAGGGAAGAAAAGCAATTAATGCTCAGAAGGGAGAGCCAAGCACCAGCAACCACAGCCGATATCAGTCCCTGCAAACCCAGCAGTGGGGCCATCGCCCCGCCACCTCCTCCGAGCCGTACCTGGGTCCTCATGATGGTTTTGATAGCAGCTTCAAACTCTTCAGAGTTATTGTAGTCGACAGTCCACACATGCGGCTTCCCGATGAAGTCTTCGGCATACGGGTGTTGGGAGGACACCTAAAGCACACAGCAGGGTGAGCTGGTTTTTGCAGTCCCTGCCAGAACGGCTGCTGTCTATCGCTCACAGCCGCGACGGCAGAGAGGAGCAGCAGGCTCAGGCACAGACACGTTGGAGTTTAATCCGTTGCACGTAGACATGTGCTGGAAAAACGTTTCCTCTGAACTGAGCTGCCTCCCGACATCAGGCTGAGTCGGAGGTTGGGATGTCCCATTCCCATCAACACTGAAATCGCCTCCGCAGCCCTGGATATCTCCCTCTCCACAATACGGGTACAATTTAACCTTGACCTGAGCCATTTGTGGGTCTGGAGTGGCAAAAATAGACCAAAACAGCAAAGGTCTGTGAAGGAACCCCATCTCCCAGGTTTGCCAGCTCCAGAAACAAGGCAGAGAGAAAATCCCTCACCACCGAAGGCCAGGGAAGTCTGGCACCAGGAGAAAGCAGTGCATGGCTCCGATGCCAAAAGCAGCCCCTCCCACAGGTATCCCACAGCCACCCGCCTCTCACCAGGCAATTTTTGGGGATCTACCTCCTGGGGATATATCTCCGGCACATAAACACCCTGGGGCATTTCACAGCCCTCGTCCCCAGCTGCCCTCCCGGCTTGGGGCTGAAGCACAACCACAGCACCCGCCCAGGATGGGTGCTAACACCAGCAGCTAATTAGGGGGGTGCATGGGATAGATACGGGGGTCCCGGACAGCACAGTGCCCCCCACCCCATGAGGGCTGCTGCCGAGCCAGGCTGGGGCAGGGCTGAGCCGCATGGGCCCCCAACAAAGCCCTTCTTGGCGGGAGCGAGCACTGCACTGCATTATCCACTTTATTAATAATAAAAGAGACAATTTTCTCAGCCCTTTAACTTTTAAAGAGTTCCTGCTTCACTTAGATTGAATTCCCAGTGATAGGCAAGCCTGGGAGGGGTCTTGTACCCCCGCAACGTCGCGGAGGTCCTGGTGTCCCTCTGGTTGTACAAAAGGATGAACGGGGAAGCATCAGCCCCAGTTTGGAGCCGGGCACGGGGTAGGCAGGGACCTGGGCTGATGGGGAAGGAGTTGGGGCTGGGTTTTGTGGTCTGCAGAAGTCTCCTGCACCACCTTCTCCTTTGCAACCTCAAACCCACGGCAGGGCCATGTGCATCCAAGCGCTCCAGATGGAGACGATATGAGGATGAGAGAGGGGACCCCACCTGCAGGTATCTGCACTTTTGCATTTGGAGGAAATCTCACAAAAAAAAAAAAATCAATATCAGTTTAGCAACTGCTTTCCCCATGCTGGCCGGAACCCCAGTATAAAGGGGATGGCTCCATCCAGCCCACCCGCTTGCCTCCCGCCACACTCACCTCCCTCGACGTCGGCTTCCCGCGGAAGAACTCGTGGTTGAGGGAGCTGTGCGGGGGGTTGAAACGCGCCTGCAGGAAAACGCAGCCGTTGGCGATCGCCTCCAGCGGGGCAGGACCCTCGTAGGGGAACCCAAAGCCAATGAAGAGCTGCAAGGGAGAAACCCACGTGCTGGTGAGCGAACACGCCAACCGCATAGGCAAGTCTCCCAAATATCCCGCCAGCGGCCCTCTCTGCTGCTCTGCTCCTGCACACCAAGCCTCTAAGGCAGCTCCACGCAAGTTCAACACCCCAGAGCTTAAATGTGCTAAAAACTCCCCCTGCTCCACAGCCCATAGCCCTCTCGTGCAAAGCAACGGGCATTTCAGGAGCTGCAAGTTGCCTCACGGTGGCTACGACCATTGTGTTGGTCCTGTATGGAGAACCACTGGTTTGCTAAACCCGTTTGGGCTGGGGAACCAACAGCGTTTCCCCCAAACACCAGCTGAAGACAACCGGGATGTGCCCGCACCCCACGCACTGGCTCCGAAAATCCCATTTATTTTTATCACAGCCGTGGGGAGAAAAAAAACCAAACCAAAACTACTCCACTTAGCAACAAATGAATTAATCAGGAAACTTTGTGCTCTGTCTGCAGACAGTCTGCAAAGAAAAACTCATCAGACGCATCTTGATTTGAAATGATGCGCTCTGCTCGGCTCCTGGCTAATTAGCCCTGCTGATAGCGCCTGCAAGCCTGGGAGGAGCACAGATAACACATCTTCTCCCCCCCCCCACCACATCTACTAGTTTTTTTTGAGTCCTCACGTGTGGCTGGTTAACGGGGGACGCGGTCCCGCAGCCGTCCCAGCTGGCTCTCGCCCCCCTTCGCCTTCCTCAGCAGCTGCTGAAACTCGTGCTGCGGCAGCAGCCCGTGGTTCTTCACGAACGCCGGGACCTCGGGCGGCCTCTGCGTCTCGTAATAAACCGTGCCGTGGATCTCCATGTACTTGTTGAGGATGGCCAGGAACTTTTCCTTGCCCTGGGGAGGAAGGCAGAGGCGTGAACCGCACCAGAAAATGGGGCAGACAGACACCCCTCCCCACCCTGGGTTAGGGGGGCAGATTTAACTCTCAAAGTGCTGTCCCGGAGCACCCGCGATGCGAAATGCCCTCCCTCCCCTCCGCATCCCTTGGACGCACGTCCTGGACCACCCTGGGCTCCCAGTGAGCCTGGGCGGCTGCAGGATCCGGCACCTCGTACCCCTGCCTGCCCTGTCACTCCCACTCTGCAGCTGCTGAATTAAAGGTTCCAGGGGATTCAGAGGGAAGTTTGCAAAGACCAGAGCTTGCTAATGGCCTCTAATTCCAACTAACAAGTCCCCAGGATTTTGTTACTCAGGTTTAATCCTGTTTTACTACCTGGAAAAATCAAGGGCATCATCAGTTTTCTTCTTTTGGAGGCTCTCCTCCTTTTACTCTGTAAAGCAGCCTTCCATTTTAACAATTTCTCTGTTGCATAGGGGTTTTTTGCTAGGAAAACCCACCAAGGGACCATCCTTTGGATGCTGCATTTTGTGCTTGTTCCAGTGCTGCAACAGGCCCCGAAAGAGCAGAGACTGGGAGGGAATCAGGAGGTATAAATGGGGAATTTGAGAAAACTGTGTCTTTGCTTAAAGCCTCTATTTCTGTCCTCAGCCACCTCTCCCTGGCCACCTCTAAGGCTAAAACCAAATGCTTTTGGTGGGATGAGGCTGCAGGGCGCAATCCCGGCCGTGGTGCCGCTCGCACACAGTCAGCACCGTGTCGATAGCAATTCCCTAATGCAAAGGGCTTGGGGAGACGGCAGCGACCCACAGCTTATAGCCCATCGGCATCACCGAGCACCATCGGGGGCAGACCGATCCCCCCCAAAGCCCCCTGCACGGTGAGGGGGGGGGCTGGCACGGGACACCCCCTCCACCGCTCCATCCGAGTGCCGTGAGCTGCTTCGACCCCTGGAATTTGGGCAGCAGCCCGATGAAAACGGCCCTTCCCAGCTTATTAAAACTTCGGCTCCTGTTGCGAGCCGGAGGCAAGAAGTTCAGAGGGGTAGGAAATGAGAAATAACGGGAAGGCAGGTTTAATCAAATGTTTCTAAATGTCAAAAAGATTCTGTTCTGGAGAGGGCGCTTGGTCCAAGGCTTGTAAATAAGCACCCGGCTCCAGAAAATGGAAGTAGTCTTTTCCTCCCTAGACCTCAAAGTCACCCAAAATAAGGAAAATGTCCTCTTTCCCCTTATTTTATTACAGGGGACGTGGGGATGTGAAGCAACGCCTGGCCAGCCTGGCCTGGAGGAGCAGCCGCCGGCAAGAACCAGCCCCAGCCCCTTCACCCAATAATAAATTACCCCAAAGGGGCAGTTTTGGGGAAAGCGATGTTGTCTGTGAATTCTGGCTAAAAGGAGCAAACGTTTGTAGCACGAAGGGTGGAGGAAAAAGTCTGTTCTGAGGTTTTAACTCTCTTTAGTGCCTTCCCAAATTAACCTAACTAAGCTCAAATGAAACGTCTGGATAAGAAAGGAAGGGGAAATGGTAGAAAAAGACAACAAAATGTTACAGTTCCCCTAAAATGAGATTTAGTGGGTTTCAGTAGGTTTTTTAGGGAGCCCTCGAGCTATGCAGATGCCATGGGGTTTGCTCTCAGACATGGGAGGCGATGGAAAAGCCACAAACGCCCGTGAACATGAGATGGCGTGGCCAGATCCTGACCCACCGCAGGCATCCCTGCCAGGGCAGAGCCGCTAAATCAGGAAAAGTGAGGATGAGGAGGGGATACATCCTGCGTGAACCCCGCATCGATCCCGGCAGCTCGGGAGGACCGAGCCTACGACGAGGCAAAGTCGACTGCAGCAAAATCTTTTCTCTCGCAAGACGACACGCAGAGGTAAAGCCCAGCGGCAGCTGGTGCGGTACAGTACCTGCAACTGGAACAGCCCCAGGTAGTGCACAAAGGGGAAAAAAAAAAGAAATAAATCGAGAGACAGTGAGAATTAGCTCCTTTTTCTAAGCCCTGGAAGGAAAAGCAGCTGGCTAGCTCTGGATAGGAGAGGGGGGAGTACACGCATCCCCTGGCCGCTGTAGGAGATGCAGGGGGGATGTTCCGGGGGGCTGGGGGTAGGGTTGGTCTTTCTGCTCACTGGAGGAGCAGTTTGGGGCTGGGGGAAGAGAACGAAGGGGTTTACCCCATGTCTGCTGGCCCAGAGGTGGGCTCAGCCAGGATGCACCAAACATGGCCAAGTGTGGGGTCCCAGCAAGGACCAGCACCGGCCACCACCGAGGGTGCAGCAAGAGCCCCCGCACCGCTGCCCGCCCCTCTCCCCCGGGCATTACGGGTGTGGGAGGGCAGGAGGGCAGCACAACCCCTTTTTTTGAAAAGCAGAGACAAACCATCCCGATGACAACACAGGAAATCACCTAACGGCAGTCATCATAATTAATGCATAAACCTGTAATTAATACATAAACCTTTCAGATTAATGAAATCCTTAGCCTAACCAGCCAGTGGGAAGGAAGCATCACCTAAACAAAAGAGCAGAGGACAGCGTCTCACCAGCCTCTGCCCCGTTTGCTCGGAGGCACCGGCCACCTCACATCGCTGCAGCAGCCTCAGCTTCCCCTCTACGAACACGACAAGGATGTTTCTCTACAAACACACCGAGAGCTGTGCCTCGAAAGCTCGGCGTAAGAGCCAGAGGCTGCTGCTACCTCGCAGCTCTGCCCGCGGCGCCCAGGACACCCACCTTCCAGATGCTGGCTTCCTTCCCGTACACCACCGCCATGCTGCTCACTTTGCCGGCCTTGATTAATTGCCTCTCTGTCTTGTTGAGCTCCTCCGACACGAAGCCCATGAAGGAGTTGTCGGGGGTGTGAGCTGTGGACACCAAGGGGAGAAGACACACGGCTAGACATGTGTCCGTGTCCCAGATGTTTTCGGGGACCTCGGCAGGGTGGAGGACGCAGCACCGTCGCAGCGCGGCTCCAGAGCCTTGCTGGAGCTTGGAGGAAAAATGGCATGAATCCCCATCCAAGCAGCTCAGAAAACACAGGCTTTGCAACCTGCTCGACCAGCTTTTTAAATGTTAAGGCATTTTTAAGGCTGCCAAATGGGCTCTATCCACCCAGGAAAAAGCAACGGTTGAGTTACCCGGCCCCCAACGGGTCACCGGGCTCCTTCCAGACAAGCACGTCTCCACTCCATGCCACAGGCAAATCCAAATCACTGAGCTGCCTCTCATCTCCAGAACTCCAGCTGGAACAAACCCAGGCTTTGCAACCAAAACCGCCCTGTGTTTCCCGTCCCGGGAGCTGGAAGCTCCTGGCCGTGCTGGAGCCAGCAACCCATCACGGAAGAAGGAGCCAGGTCCCTCTCCCCAGAACATTTCTATAGCCCAAGAGACGGCCAAGCAGATTCGGGAGCTCCGGGCAGGCAGGGGGAAGCAGGAGCAGAGCCGGGGAGGACGGCACTGCCCGTGCATCACCTCCTAAAGCAGGCGAGACCCGCTTCTGTGGGGTCTGCAAGCCCCAAAAGCTCCCCACCGTGCCCCTGTCCCCCACTTACGGAACATGGTCATGAACTGGGTGGGCTGTAGGTTCCAGTAGCCCCAGTTGGTGCGGTAGCCGCGCAGCGTGGCGTACTCCTCGTGGTTGTAAGCCGGCTCCGTCCCAAAGGTATCAATGACCCGGACGCGGCACCTGGGAGAGGAGACAGGTCACACCTCGAAGAGCTCGGTTGGAGAAAGTCCCACTGCCAGGACCGTCCGGAGTCCCGGGGCACTTCATCCCTTGTCTGCTCCTCGAGCAGAGGGTGCAGGAACATCCCAAACAGCCCTTCCCGACCCACTGCTCCCTCCTGTAACAAGCAATTTCCCTTGCAGGGTTTTCATCTCCCTGATGGCTGCAGGAATGATGTATCTCCTGAAGATTTGTTAATGCTTTTCCCAATATCCCAGGAATGCTGAGACAGGCATTACCAGCACAAGACGGAGGAGAGAAGGGGAGCATCAGGCAAGGGAAGAGCAAAACAAGCTGAATGCAAGAGCAAATGCATTTATAATAAAAGCAATAACACCACTTGTCATTTTTCTCTCTAATAAAATTGTGTAGGATAGTGGAAGAGATGGGAGAAAACATAATAAATAGCAGGACTATCAGCACTAAATTAAATCACATATTTTCCTGGCTGGTGGTGTACCAGGGGATGATGACATTTGTCTTGATGCTGAAGGAGCCAGGGACGGGGCTCTGCTTCTTGCAAATCGAAAAGGCTCGTGCTTCCCTCTGTGGCATGGCCACCCCTGTCTGCAGGCACCAGGCACGGTACTGGGAAGCACACACCCACCGCAGGCACGCACGGGTGGGGTTTTCTTCCAATTCAGTCTCTTCTAATGAGGTTTTATCTGAAACACGTGAAGCTCCGTAGCGAGCAGACCGCCTCGTGCCGTGGCAGCGAGGGACACAGCAAGGCACCAGCTGCCAGAGCCAGGCAAAAATCAACGGAGCAATCGAAGGGTGCGACTCCTCGGATGTGGGGGCCATCCTTCAAGGTCATTAGCATTAGTCTTTGCTTGCTAATTAATGAAATGGAGAGTAAGAGAAGGGAGTGGCTTTGCTTACCTGTATTTTTTAAAGGAGAGCCCCATGTGCTGCTTCATCTGTTGGAGACCGTGGTAGTCGGTGTAAATCAGGTCGAAAGGCAAAGGACTGGTCAAGGGGCAGTTTCCCCGTCCTGGAGGCACCCCTAAATGACTGGGGAGAAGCAGGAGGGACTGATCAGCCCCCCCAGCACCACAAAAGCCCTGCAACACAAACACTCGTTTCCCGGCGGGGTGTTTAACAGGGGCCATCCACCAGCTCCCCAGCTGATGGAGGGGGAGGCAGATGGTGCTCCTCTCCCCAGCCTTTATTTCCTAGGGGCGGGGGGGAAAGATGTTCTGGGGACTCCTGGTCCCTCCCCATCTTTGCACCTGCTCCAGCTGAGTTCCTGCTCCTCACACGTGGATGATGAACCTTTTGCACAGCATTCCCAGCCAGGGCTCACCAGCATCTCATTCGATGCGCACCCTTCCCCCTCAACCTCTCGTCGAAGACACCCGATTTCCTTTGCTTCCATTGCAATCACATCAGCAACAAACTTGCAGAGCCACAGCTTTCCCCTGCTCCCTGCCCACAAAGCCTAAATCTCCCTGTTCCCAGTCCCATATCCCTCCCAGTACAAACACCACGCGTCCTTTCTCTTACCCCAGTCCTTATAGGTACCCACCACAGCCCTGAGCACCCCAGATTCTCCTCAATACTGGTGGCACTGCCCATCCGTGGGTGTTGTGTACATTTCATTAATGTTTCTGATTTTTTTTTTTTCCCCCCATTTATAAAATAATTCAATAAGCTGGGGCAGCCGGACCCTGGGGTTTTGAGCCAGTCCCTTACAACAGCCGTACCCAGCCCCTCTTCCATCCTCCAGCGGATAAAACGCATTATGAAAATCCAGATAAACTAGATCGACTGCAATCTCTTTATCAAGATCATCAGTTACCTTGCTGCCAAGGTGATATGTGATTAATCTGGCATGATACAAGGCTGGTAAACCTGCAGCATGTCTCCTTCCTTTTTCAATTACCTCTGTGAACTGATGAATTCCTCTCTCCAAAGCTGTTCCACTAAGTGTACCACTGATGTCAGCCTGACAGCCCATCTGCTCATCTGGACCACATTTCCTCCTTCTCAGGAAAAAAAAAAACCTGTGACACCTTCCAGCTTCAGCAGGTTTCTCAAAAATACTTGTTCCATGTACTTGTGATTTCTGAGTGCCAGTTTGCTCAGAAATACAAATGATCCACCCCTCAGTTTCAATGTTCTTGGGATTTTTTTTCCTCCTAAAGACAGTAATTCCTCATCCTCGCCCCCACAACCCCACTCACCCCCAAAGAGCAACAGCAGCAGCCTCATGGAAAACCAAAACGCTGAGCTCGTTTGGTCCACCCGGGCTCTGCCCCACTCCCACCATGCAGTCACCCCGTTTCTTTCTCAGTCCTCCTAACAGGGCTGAGGAATTTCTGTTTTATTTTGCAAGTCTGAGCTCAGACAGTGTGAAATCTCACCCTTAGCTCCTGCCTGCCAAGATGTCTGTCTTTGTTTTCTTCTGGGCTCTTCACTTACTCCTAGCACCTATTTGGAGATGGGAATTTATCCCAGCCATCCCCAGTAAGTATTTTCCCTTCTCTTGGGAATAAAAAGTCCAGTCAGGTTTTAAATTCCCAGGCTTTGAAGCCTTCACTCTGTGACCTCTCCTACTGGTTCTCCTAATTTCTCTGCATTTCCCCTTCTGAACCTGAAAACCCTCTTTCCATCCCTACCCAGGTTTCTCTGTTACTCAGCTGAAGCTCAAATGGACCCAGAGTCCAGCGGTCCATCCTCCGAGGAGCACCTCCAGAAGGTCCTCACCCCTTGCCTAGACCTACGACTACACGTAGCATTTCATCTCTCCATCCCATGGCTGCTTGCAGAAGAAATCGATGGCTCTCCCACCCGGGGAACAGCCGATGCAGGTATCACAAGTGTTTGCTCTCCGATCTTTCACAAGTCTTCACCAACGTCATCAGAAAGGATCATATGTGGCCAGTGAAATTGGTTGGCCATTGTAACTACGATAAAGGGCTCTTGGTCTGCTCCTGGCCGTATCTCCCTCCTCTTCTGATACGGCTTGCAAGCCCTTGAGCGTTGGGCACTAAGATCCTTCTTCCAGGCCCATCCTGATCGGAGAGCGGTGACGGGTCATCCAAAATCCTGACCATCCCGAACTCCTGACTCCATCCTGAACTCCTGGACCGTGACTCCAAAGAGCAAGTAACCATGGAATCACATTGCTCACCAAAGCCAGGAAAACCACAGAATTTCAATTTAAGGCGAAGAGCCGCAGTTGCAGCTGCTTCATTGCTCTTGTCACAAGGAATGTAAGCATCAGCTCAGGGCAGCCTGGCCGGGTCAGCCGCAGGGGAAACAGGCAGCAGTTTTATCACTTTTCTGCACAATTTTACATGGCATGGCTGATTGGGAGGATGGCAGGAATAGAAAGGCTCTCACCTCCAACAGCCACCTCAGTACGATAAATAGGGCAAACCAGGAGACCCACCCCTCCTGGGGAGGCTGAAGCAGAAGGGGAATTTTTAAGCCAGTAAAAACCCCCAGGATTATTTTATAGAGATGCAATGCTAAATATCACGTTTGCTCACACACGCACGCTGCTTTTTCCTCAGTCATCAGCCAAACAGCAATGCTGATTTACACCGACCTGGTGCTGCAGCGGAGCAACTCGGCTGATCCATAAACCTTGTACTTAACTAAAAATCCCCAAACTGTAACACTTCTCTTGCGGCACACCCCATCCTCTAGCTGGTACACATCACCCAAGCCGCTCCGTTACAAAATCATCTGTAATTTTAAAAAGCCCTAACCAAGCTTGACAAGGGGCTGCGGGAGACAGCAATTAGCGTGTCTCAGACTAAAGCCTCCAAACTTCCCACCAGTTCGATAGAGCAGGTCTGGCTCCCCCTGCTCCTCCTCGTCACCACAATTTGCCACACATCCCCTCTCCGGGTGTTTGGGACTTGCCACGTTCATTTACACTCCCAGCGCCAAGGCTGCGAGGCAGCAATAGATCTAAAAGCAGGACCGGTGTCCTTGAAGCAGAGCATCTTGCTCATTTACCCCCCTTATCCTTCCTAAACACTTTGTAACCACTGATTTTAATATTCCAATCATGCAAATCCAGGCTGCACCTCCGAAGTGTGTGTGGGGGATATTTTTTCATTCCTCCTTATTTAAACATTCTTTATTCAAGCTTTCATCATTTGCCAGTTAAGTCAACTAATTTTCTACTAAACCCAATTTCACTCATGGTTGGAGTGAAATTTCCCTGATTTTTCCTCGTGCCATGTACTATTAATGGCGCTTGAAATTACGCAAATAAAATTGATGAGCGCAAATGCCTCCTTCTCAGCCAGCGCAGCCAAGAGATTTGTTTTTGAAAACCACTTGATCCCAGCTCCTGGAGAAACCTCCCCTTCCCAGACCAGCCAACGATGGCCAACGGCTCGTGCCCGGGCTCCAGAGCCCCTGCAGGTGACCCGGTGGCTTGTCCCTTCCTGACATCCAGGATTAGTGCATCAGCTCAGCGCTCGCTCCTCGTCGGGTGAGAGCAGCCGAAGCGGCTTCAATCCAAGCGGATGCAAGCGCCGAGCTCGCTTCTCCGCCAGCTGCCTCCACCAGCTGTGCCTACTCCAGAATAAATCTACAGCAGCTTCTTGTCCTCCTATTTTCCCCTTATAGGTACTTTAATCAACCAGGGGACGCGGTCCCTTCCCACGCGCGGTGCAGGCTCTCTGAAATCAGATGACTGCGGGGTTGTCTTTACATCCCATTGACCCATTTTCGAATTAACCCAACATTTCCTTCCACGTTATCACTCCTGGGGCTGAAAAGTCCAGCACTAAATGGATCTCGTGGGCATCTGCTGGCAGGCTGGGCCAATATCCTGTATCATATTTAATTGCATCTTCTCTGCCCGCATCTGCTGTCATCAGCAAGGCAGACTGCAGCAGGGGAAACGGAGGAGGGCTTCTGTCCTTTCTGCTCCTTTGGCTTCTCCCCGTCTGCGGCAGCCCAGCAGGCACAGGGCCGTTAGCCGGGGGATGAAAGGTGCCGGAGCAGAGCCCGAGTGGTCCCGGGGCTCTGTGACAAGCCCATCACGAGCGATTTAAAGTGCAAATCGGAGCCCACAAGCTGAAGGTCCCACTCCTCACCTCTGCCACCCATCTTTTAAATACCCCCAGGGATGGTGACTCAACCACTTCCCCGGGCAGCCTCTTCCAGTGCTTGACAACTCTTTCACAAAGAAATTTTTCTTCCAGCCCTGCGGGGCTGGAGGCCGCATTTGATCCAGGGGCTCCTGGTTGGACCATCTCTGGGTGTACTGAAACCTCCGTCCTCCCCGACCTCGCCAGCCCGGAGAGGCGCTGGGTCCCCGCAGGGAGGATCAACCCAGGCATAACCTCCTCTCACCTATGTAAATTACCCTGCAATTAATAAGGTTACGATAAACTTCATGGGACAAAGCAGAAGTTTCTGCAATGGCAAAGCAGCCAGCGAGCAAATCATCATTTGGCTACAAAATAAACATATTTCACGAAGGAGTGCAATTTAACAGCTCAGTAATTCCTGCTAATTTATGCACCTTCCTCTCCTGCAAAATGAAGCCCTCGAAGGTGGAAGAAATCCCTCCCTGTCGCTCCTCGCCCCCGCAGGGCAGCTCATCCCTGGTCCTCACTGGCTGCTGCCAGCAAAGCTCCGAGCCGCCTCTTCAGCGCTGCCAGGAAGCTGCTGTAATTAAAGGGAGTTGCTTTTGCAGTCTTGTTTCCACATACCTGGCTTTTAATTGTGGAGCTACATGGCTGCAACTCTGCAAGCAGCTGTACTTGGCTGGAAGAGGGGAGGAGGAGCCGGGGAGGAGATGGGATCCACCGGTGAGACCCACCTTCCCGCCTGGGCAGAGTCAGACCCTGGGGAAGCACAGGAGAGTGCCCGAGCAAACAGCTCCTCCTGGTCAGAAATTCAGCAAATAATGAAGAAACTTCCCGGGAAAGGCAAATAAATTCTTGGGCTCCTGTGGGGAGCAGCAGAAGCTGAGCACTCGCGTGCTCGTGGCACCTGGGCAAACCCTCGGACTGTCCCCTGCTGTCCCAACTGCTCCA